CCCCTCTCTACCTCAAATGGTGTTTTACCGGTAGTGCTATGTGTAGAAGTATTATATGCTATCTCTAGTGCTGGTAGAAGAGTCTTCCAGTCGTGAGTATATCCTTCTCCGTCTTTAAAAGATAGTCCGTAGCCGCAGTATCTTCTAATCAGGTCTTCCAGACTACTGATCATTCGTTCTGCTAGCCCGTCCGTTTGTGGGTGATATGCTGTCGACATAGATAACTTTGTTCCTGTCATTGAATATAGTCCTTTCCAGAATTCGGATGTAAATTTAGGGTCTCTATTGCTGATTATCACTCTTGGTAAACCTGTGTCCGATATTACCCTTTCCCAGAAGAGCAATGCTATATCCATGGCTGTGGCGTTTTTGTGGCACGGTAAGAATCAACATCTTTTCGAAAATCTATCTACTATCACTAACCAATTTGGCCACCAGGTCGTTTGTCGAATCCTATCTATCGTCCTATCCATGGACAGGTGTCCTGACATAACGTCATCGTGACAGATTTTTAATACTTGCGCTATAGTGGTGTCAGATGTTATTACCATTACGCACGAATGTTTTTCTCTATGATAGAGTATACCACTCAGCAAGGTAAATCTCCCTTCTTCGAATGCTTTCTTCCAGATTCCTTCCAGTGATGAAGTCAGTCCTGGTACTTTATGATCTGTTTGTAAAATTTCCACTAGTCGTGTTGTATTTGGCTCTGCCGCGTAATCTTCTTTAATTTGTTCGAAAAATTCTTCTGATAAGTCTGTAATGCTGATTCCCATGATAGGTAAGTCCCTTGTCTCGTCTTCCGGTTCCCATGCTGGGTTTTCGATGTTATTATCTAATGCCATTCTGCTTAGTGAGTCTGCGTTGTCGTGTTTCCTTCCTTCTCTATGTGTGATTGTCATGCATGATCGGTATTCTTGTATCACAATTTGCCATCGTAGCATGTGCCGGTTCGGTGTCTTCATGTTAAGAAGTGCTTTTAGCGCCGTGCAGTCCGTGATGACTTCAAAAAAGGCTCCATCTAAATAATAGTGAAATTTGTCTAGTGCCCATACTAAACAGAGATTCTCCAATTGTGTCGCGCCATAATTTAATTCATATTGTTTAAGTTTGCGTGAGATACATCCTATCAGACCTTCGAAAGGTTTCCCATCCATAATTTGGATTTGTTGCAATGTCGCCCCTAGACCATCAAAACTCGCGTCTACGTATAGTTTAAATGGCAGCTTGAAATCAGCATGCAATAAAAACGGAGCTTCTGTTAGTCGTTTTTTCACTATGTTCCATGATTCCACTCTATCCTGGGTCATTTCAAACAAGACTCCTTTCTGGAGTAGCTTGTACAGCGGACCACTAACCTTGGCGAATCCTTCTAAGTGTGTCCTATAGTAATTTGCAAATCCTAAAAAGGACTGCACCTCTTTAACCGATTGTGGTATTTGCTTCTGTAGTATCGCAGCTACCTTATTCTGGTCTATCGCTATCCATAATCCTGACACAATGTGTCCTAGAGCTTTCAATTCTTGGAACGCAAAATTTGATTTCTGTAGTGATATAGTCATCCCCATTTTGATAACTTTCTCGAATACTTGTATCAGTCGACGTATATGCTCTTCCCAAGTTTTTGAGAAAACTATGATGTCGTCTATATAAATGATGAGCCATCCTTCGCTTAGTTCTGCTGCAAACTCGTTATCCATCATTCTTTGAAAATGCGCTGGAGCGCCTTTCACACCAAATGGCATTCGAAGATATTCATGTATTCCTTTATGTGAAATTATGCGTAGCATCTTCCTAGTCTCTTCATCTAAGGTATTCTGATGAAAGCCCTTCATGACGTCCATTGTTGAAATGTACAGCGCTGCTCCTAGATTAGTGAGGCAATGCGATATCCTAGGCATCGGGTATCTGTCTGGTACTGTGTACGTATTCAAGGCTCTGAAGTCCCCACACATACGGGATTTCCCGTTGTGCCATGCGATTATCACTGGTTTTGTGATATCTACATCCTCATCTGCTCCTACTTTACGTATAATCCCGTATTGGATCAATTTGTCGAGATGTTTCTCGATCTCATCTCTACTCCGCGGACTTGCCGGGTATGCTTGCTTCTTAAGTATGGGTGGATAAGGTTTCTGAACGGTCAATCTCAACTTTAGTTCATGTCCTATAATGGTCCCTATAGGGTTTTCTCCGTAAGCAAAGGCTTTGCAATATTTCTTCATGACTGAATTCAAAGAGTGTAATTCTGATGATTTCAGCCTGGGAGATATGTTACATTCTCCTATAGCTTTTTCGAAGTTCTCATCCGTATGTTGGATTGCTGATATTTTCCCTTCTTTCATAAGGCTGAGAAGAAATTTCTTCTTTTTATTTTCGTTTCCTATAGTAAAGAATTTCTCTTTACTGTGAACAATATCTACGCCATACAGTCTCAGATATTCTCCACCTAATATGAAGTAATTCGACGTGGCATTTTCCATAACTACGAATTCTGGCTTTATCCTAACTGATCCTTGGTGATGTGGAAAGATAATAGGTATTTCTATCACTCCGAGGGCTTTCAATTTCCCATCACAACCTCTAAATGTCATAGTGCTAGGTGGTAACATCTTCTCTTTCCATTGGGGAAAGATGTTTTTGAGGTAGTGCGTTCCTACTATCGAACACGCTGCTCCGCTGTCTAGTAAAACATTCGCTTCTGTCTTATCGTCTAATAGTACCGTTGTTATGCAGTGATGGCCTATAGTGTGAGCTCTACCTCTCTCGGGTTTGCTCATCATTAATCTGGCATCCAATATCTGTTTTGACTTTGTTTCTCCGTCCCATTGTTGTGGGGTAGCTGCTTGCGATTGTAATTCTGCAATATCCAATCCTTCACCAGGTTCAGTGGTAATTGTCGCTATATCATGGTTATAACTTCTTTTATTTCTATTTTCTATATATTCTTTTAAAGATAATAGTCAAAAAGAAAATGATTCGTTCACCTCCCAGATTCCACATGAGGGTTGTGGTCCCATGTAAATGGTCATCTTTAGTTCCTTTAAAGTTTCGCATCCAAGTGTTAGGAACTCGGACTGGTCATCATCGAGGACAGAGAACCTTATGTATATAAAACATGGTCTCGTCTGATGTTCTAATTTGACAGGTAAGTTAATTGATCCAATCATTTCTAATTCCGTTGCTTCGTTCAAATTTTGTTCCCTCGTATTGGAAATGATATCTGTCCTCCAGGTCGGCCAGCATTCTTTGAGCATTCCAGATGTTACGAACGATTTAATCCTCGTCGTATCTATAAGCATAGCTTTTTCGAATCCTCCGACCAATACTGTCAGGTATGTATCTATTTCTGGCATCGTTATCCTTTCTCGAGATATAAATCTAAAAGACGTTGCTGAATCTGTCATGGTTTCTGCAGCTTGTATGTTATCTGTTAATGCTTCAAGAGATATTCCATGTGTTACGTGTGTAACATTTCCGATTTCTTCTGGATCTTCGTTTGTATCATCGTCCTCAGGTTCCCTTCGAGACATATCTATATTACTTACGCAGAAATCTTCTCCTTCGTCTGTTGTATCATCCCGTACTGATTCTTGTACCGACTTTTCGTCCTCTGAAGGAGGTCCGTCCTTGAATTTGTATTGTTCTTCGTCACAGTTTACTGCATTGATGGGCTTCCTACTGTATCCTTGTTGATCTTCTCGATTCCTAAAGGGAAGTTTGGAAGTATTATTCCGATCACTTCCGGCAAACTTGTTTTGGCTATAGTCTCTTGTCTTAAAATCTCTCGATGGAGAGCTTCTTGGGTCTTTAGTTGCATCTCTTGAAAAAGGGTTTCTCGACTCTTTATTGTTACTAAAGGTAACTCTCAGGTTATTAGGTTTCTCTGCCAATTTTCCAATGGAGGTCGTTGTTACTATCTCTTCAAAAATATTCATGAATTCTTCAAAACTTGTCTTATCGTTAATTCTCGATTGAACTGCATGTTCCAATTCCCCGCCGCACAGACTCAATATTTTGTCTATATGTTCGGATGTTTCTAGGAACGACCAAGCTGCTTCCATTCTCTTACGCTGTGTCAGCAGCCAAGAATTGGACCTAGATCTATACTCGTTTCTGAATTTATCGCGCTCGAAGGCTGATGCCATTCGACGTCTCCATAGTGGTGTTCCGAAATCCTTTTTAATGGCTTTCTTCCACTCCTCCAAGCTTGCTTTAAGAAGGGTTTTCTTTTGGCTCTGGTACCAGGCACGCGCTGTTCCTGTTGTGATAATTGCAAGTTTGCATGTGATCAACTCATTGGGCATGCTGAACTCCTCTTTCACCCCATCTATCCATTCAATCCATTCCAGGTGGTTGTATTCGCCTTCACCACCAAATCTTGGCCAGTCCCTAGATTGTGGGTAGTCTTTTCTTAATAATTTGAGTATTTCTATGTCCTTCTGAGATTTCTCGGTTGTTTTGTTCATGCAAGGTTGGTCTTCATGTTCTGCATCCTCGTGTTGTGTTGTATATTGTTTTTCCGGTGGATGTGGCACCTTAGGTATCCCTTGGAATTTGTGCGCAAATGGGTTATTTCCAGTTGCTACTTCTGATTCTGGCACTATATCATTTAGGATATTGTGTTCTTCAAGCTGGGTTTCTACTCTCGTGTTCAACTTGTCTACTGTCGACACTAATCTTACCACGTTACGGTGTATTAAAGAGCAGTTCAGACTTTGTTCTATTATCTTGTTGTCTATTAACTTAATTAGTCCTGCTAAATGTCGACTATTTGCTTCGACTATTTCTTTGTTCACCATTACGGCATTAGACATGATATCATCCATGTTTTCGAGGTGCTCACTCAGTATCTTGTTCATTTCTGAGCATGTACTTATTTTATTTGCCTGGTCCATGTGGTAACTCATTTCCTCGAAATGTACTCTTATTTCGTCATTTAGGATATTCAACCCTAGATCCCATTTATTGTTGAGCTTTGTAACAGCTTCATCAATTTTTTCTTTGATGTTGCTTTGTAGTTTATTTAACTTTGTTTCCAAATCCATTCTCCCCTTGTTCAGAGATATCATCGATTTAGGTGATAGGCTTTCTGTCTGCAATCTCAAACCTTGAAATCTAGTATTGAGACTTTTCTCAGCATCCGTTGAGGCGAAACTTTTATCTCTAAAGGTATCTCTTGGCGTTCCCTGAGGAGCATGGGTGGTCTTCTTGAATTCAGTTTCTTTAAGTATATCTTCTATACTTGTCGTATTCTTCTTCGGCTTATTCAGCTCTGCTATAAACTTATTTTTATCAAAGTTCTTGTTGTCTCTCAAACTGATTGGCACTTTTCTCTTGTTTTGGGCTAAAGTTTTAATTGTCTCGCTTATTTGGCTCAATTGATTTTGAGCAGGCAAGGTTGTAGTACGTTTAGAAATGTTATCATTGACTGCAGTGTGGTTAGATACAAGAACATCTTTTACTGTAGTATTGGGGATATCAACAACTTCTCTCGTGACAGGCATAGGTTGGATAGGCATAGTGGTAACAGGCATAGGTTCAATAGACAAGGAAATGGATTTGACAACGGTATCATTATCGTTCTGAGGAGCTAAATCGTTTCTAAGTCTATGAGATGTCAAAAACGGGCTGGGAGTAGAATAAAAGACCCTATCTATTGTTGAGGGTTTTGCTTCCCTTTCCCTTTGTGGGGACCTCTCATCCCTTTGACCGCTCTGTAGTAAGCTCAACTGAATGACAACATCTGTTGCATGTTGTGGGCTTCGTCCTCGGCTTGAGCTGGTCGGTTGTACGGGGTGTTCGATGGCTTGTGGGTTTGATTTCTCGCTGGACCCGTTGACGACTCCGCTTGGGTCGGATGCTGGTACTGGTTCGTCTGTGGTTTGAGGTATTGTTCCTTGCCAATGAATCCTCCCGAGGTCCTCGCTAAGAGGCTCTGTTCTTCTACGTACGGATCCCAAGGGTGACAAAGCGCTTTCGTTGCTTCTTCGCCGATCAGAATCATCAGAGTCTCGTGAGTCGACTTCCATAACTTGAGATAGATCATTATGTTTCGAGTGTTGTTGGGGTTCGATGCTTGCGCATCTCTCCATTTGCTGAAATGGTACTCGTACAGTTTCACTATGTGATCCTGTTGCTCCAAGTCCTGAGCCGCTTGGATTTCTTGAGCTGATAATCCGGTCGGTTGGTTTGGTAGCATCGGAACATCGTCGCTTGCTGCCGATTGAGCTGGATCTCCGGATGGAGTCTGAGTAGTTTGGCCGTTCGAGGCTACTGACTCTAGAAGATTTTCGAGGAGGCATATCTTCTCAATACGTAGTACGATAGCGAGGGGTTATAACACAGCAATGAATTTATATATTTACCAGGTGGATCTCCACTCGTAGTCGTATTCTGAGCGGCTGGGTGTGACACGCTGCTCTAGTGGTTCTGGGCTGATGAGGCTGATTGGGTTCTGTCTACTGCCTGGTTCTGTTCGACTTGAGCTTGACTGGGCTGGCTTGATCTGGTCACTGTTTGCGCAGTTGTTAGTGTTGTGTTTCGTTCAGTCACTGTCAAACTTTTGTCTGACTTACTCTTGATTCCTGAGTTTATCAGCTTCCGCTTCAAGTCTTCGAATGATGTTGATAATGTTCTGTAACAAATCCTCCGGTTGTTTCAAATTCAAGTACTGGATATCAATGAAAGTATCGACTAGCTTTCCTAGTTCCTTGCTAATGTCAAGGAGCTCATAAATCGTTGATGCCTTTGGTTGTGAAATCTTGAAACAGAGACTGTAGTCTCGGGTTTAGAACTTGGAAATTAAAATAAGAAACTTCAAAATTGAAACAAGTGTTAAAGGTTTTGTCTGCTAAAGGATTCTCGTGGACTAAAGAAAAATATGGTAATTCGAAGAATAGATCTAGGGAATACTGATCAATGACTTCGAGCGAAATGTTGAAGATAAACTGAGATTGATAATAAAAAAAATTGATATTTTTTATGGGTGATTTTATTGGTTTTTAAAAAAAAAAAAAATTGTAAGACTGAAAGGATATGTTTTCTTTTGTCAGACTTGGGTTCTAAAACACGCGATGAGGCCCCGAATTGTCAGGGTGGCTACCTAAAGAGGTCACAGGTAAGGCCTAGTACTTACGCTATAAGTTCCTGACTGAATATTCCTCTGGTTACGTGGAATACGAGATCGTGGTTTCTTCCTAACACAAGTAATGATAGTAATATCAGTATACTGATTAATATTGTAAATTATAAAATACTGATTTTAAAAGAACCACAGGCCTACTGAGGAGACAGTAGAGGATGGTCAATCCTTAGACCCGGGTATTTCTCTGAAGCTCAAAGCTTAGAGTTGCCTGTTATCCAGAGATAAACAGGGATCTCGTCCAACTTTACGTTGCGAGAACTGTAGGTATTGACCAAATAAGAACGGACTTACTCTTGATCAAGTAAGAAAGTAGTATCGGTTTCGAATAACTGGATAAGGATCGAATGGAGCTTATAATAAGTTTATAACCTTTCGAACTGGGTAGCTAGTGGTTAACTACGGAGAATTACAGTAAAGTAAGAATCAGAATGAGTTCAGACTATTCACTAATCATGGAGAAAAGATGAGTTACGTTTATTTTACGGGTTCAAGATTTCAGAAGCTTTTAGCAAAAACTACTTTTAAGAAGCGGGACAGATAAAGGGTTAAAATTCTAATCTTATAAAGGTAGATTCTAATGGTTTATGTGCCGGGCTTTGAAAAAGGAGAAAACTAACTTGTTTCTACAATATTGATGGGGTAAGATTCGATGCCCCTCTTCTTCGTTGCTCGTATAGGGTCTTCTTATAGTTTTTGTTATAGCTTATGGCAGCCTTGGTAATAATCAGGTCGGAGTTCTTACTTCCAACCGTAGTCTTCTCGTTTTACGTAAGTCTTGACGTATTAGGAGACTGGGTCCTTCGAAGTTTTCATAGTTTTTTACGTCAGTCTGAACTCGTCTTATCACTGATTCCTCAAACCTCTCTTCTCATGTCACCTCTGATCCTTGATCATGACAGTTTTCTCTTGGAAGTGGCTCGATGTCTAGTTCTTTCATGTTCTCTTTACGTCTGGCGATATTGCCTCAGTTCTCGAGGAATTTCAGTTCGTCTCTTGGTATTTCTTTCTATCTACTAGTTCCTTTCCTAATTCCTTCCTAGTCTTGTTTCTTATTGTTTTCTTTGGTGAAATATATCAGCTGTTCTCGTGACCATTATTCTTATTTAGGTTTTCTATTCATTATTCGTGTTTGTTATTTGTAGACTTCTGATACTAGGTCATTTTTTGAAATGTGTCTTGTATTTTCTTTTTTATGTTTTTTATGTTTTTTTGTTGAATCTTTGAGACTAGATCCATAAGTTGTAATCAAAGGAATTTGTTCTCATTTTTTCTAAAAGGTTATTATAAAAACAAAAACAAAAAATGACAAATGAAATATATACATATATGTTGTGTAGTTCTTCTGGTGTTTTCCTTCGTTTGGAAACACTCAAGGACTGACATGTGGATTGATGAGATCATGAATCATCCAAATGAATCAGTCTTCTATAATGATCTTGGGATGCACAAGCACATATTTTTTGGACTATGCTTGTTCTTGGAGACTCTGGATGGATTAACTTGCCTGTCAAATCTTGAACTTCAGAACCATTTTCAAAGAGCTGCTGACACTATTCTAAGGGACTTTTTTCCTTTTTTCACATTGCCTTGTTGCTATTTTTGTCATGTCTTCTTTTGACTTGGACAATAAATCAGCCTCTTAAAGGGATTGCTAGTCATGGAAAGTTACTTGGCACATATCTCCCTCTTCCCAATGCCAACACAACCCTCTCAGAAACCCTTTCTGCTCATCTGAAGTTCATGCCTCATTTAATAGACTGCATTGGTGCAATAGATGGTACACATTCCAGTCACTCCACCAGCTTACAATTTCATTCCTTTCTCTGACTGTAAAGGCTACACATCTCAAGATTTCCTTGCTGTATGCAATTTCAATACAAAGTTTATTTATTTATTTGTTGGAGCTGAAGGAAGTACGTCTGATGGGGCTCTTTGACTTTGGCTCAAAGTTGTGACTTCACAATTCCAGCTGGATAGTAATATCTTGGCAACCTGGCTTTTCTCTCACCAACATGTGTCTTGACCCAAAATCAATGAGTATGTAATTATCATTTATGAGAGTGAAAAAAAGGTTTCATGTTGTAGAACTTGAAGCTCAACAAGAGCTTGAAAGAGCATTAAGGGGGTGATCTACCAATGAGAAACTAGTAGAAGATGTCTAAAGACTACCCTCCTAAAACAAGACAATCAGAAAGGGGAACTTCTGTTGAATTGAGCACTGATAAGTATCAAAAGAGAAATATATCTTAATTGACTTTGAAAAAGACCAAAAGCATGCGTTTCAAATGAAATAGCACAGTTTTAATTGTCTCTCAACACTTATAGTGTTATTCCAATCTGATAACTAAGAGAAAACAACACAATACCCTTTTGATATTATTCTCTACCAAAGGAGCAATTGAGCCAAATAAAGGTAACAGTGGGCTTTTGAATTGCAAGAGCTCCTTCAACTTCTTGGTCTGAAATAATGTCAAATGAAGTCAATAGGAGAGGTAAACAAAGAAATAAATAAGAAAAGGAAGAATGAAAGACAGAAAGAAAGAAAGAAATACATAATAAAGACAGACATAAAAAAGAAAGAGTCCTTACATTGTTGTTAACAATTGGTGCCCAGATATCATTGGGTAGCAGAATGCAGTTGTCCTCCCACCCAGAATCACTAAGGGCCCGTTCGGTTGCCGTCAACCTCGCAGGTTGACCCAGCCAAATGCCCAGGCGTAAGCCTGAGAGGTATTTTAAATGTCAACCTGGGTGGTGAACCGTTCGGTACAGGTTTTTTGAAAACCTTTCAAGTGTACACCTCTCAGGTCTACCAGCCAAACCGGTCAACCTGTCAGGTTGGCCGTTTTGCTAGAATCTGGCAGGTTGACCTGCCTACTGCCATAGACTTGGCCTCAAGAAGAAACCAAATCAATTCATGAAACCCATGATCTTCAGGTTTCATGACAGTCAAGTTGGGGCTACCAAACAACCCAGGCTCTCAGGCAACCTGCAAGGCAGACATTGTCAACCTGCGCATGCGCAAGTAGACGCTTGCGAAGCGTACACCTGCCAGGCTGACGGCAACTGAACGGGGCCTAAGAAGCTTGCAAAGAAAGAGTGTAATTTTTGAAAGAGTGATGTCAAAAGGGTGAGGGGTGATGAACAAGAATCAATTATGGTAAAGGGAGGGTTATGGGCAAGGGAGAGGGGCAAATACTTTATTTTTGTTATGAGTACACTTTGGGGAAACTCTTGTGAAACATGAGTCACACATGTCACAGATATTGACTCATACTTGTACTCCACAGATCTTGTATGGCTATTTCAAGAAAGATTGACAACTTTTTTTTGGAGAAGGTTGTCTCCGCAGCGGTTAAAACCAGAGAAAAAACTTGACTACAGGTTTATTCTTTTCTGTATTCTTCCAATTAGCAGAGGGACAAAATCAAGTGTGGGGCAAAACCCGGGTTTTGCATGTTGATGAGATTTTCAACAAAAAAATCTATGTTAAAACGGCTGTAGTATTGGTCCTTTTTCCTTATCCAACAATCTCAATAATCAGGATACAAGAGCCAGAGCCAGAGCCAGAGCCTCACTCCTGTACCAAGACTCTTGACTACAACCCATAACAATTTTGTCTAATATATTGTCATACCGTTTATGATTTTGACCAAATAATGTACCAAACACCCTGTTTTTTTCACAAGCCATATACTGTACATGGTCTTATACAGTATGTTGCTTCTGTAGTATATCAATGTTTTCCAAATGGGCCCTAGCCTTTTCTAGTTGTCCAAAATGAAACTTGAACATATTGCAGTGAATAATGATGTAACAATCCGTATGGATGTAGAGGGTTTACATCTCTACAAGGGAGCTTTTTGCAGGCAAAGGCCACTTGAGTAGTTCAAAAAACCTTTGGTTATGAGTGGGTTAATCCCTGTATGTGGGTATGGAGTTAGAGGGGTTCAACTGTATTCTCTCTTTGCTGTTGTTGACACTTGTTCAAGTTGTTGTGTTGGGTATTGCTTTTTGGTGATATCTCATGTTCCTTGTGTTTCAATTTGTTTGGATAAGCTGACATGTTTGCTCTAACACTTGTATCTAGAGTTCACAGGAACCTTGACTTGTTTGTATAGATACTACTGGCACTTGTAGGGGGTAAAGCAGCTCACACTTACAAGTTATCAGTGCTGCAAAAGTTTTGAGCAAGTCTTGTATCTTTCTACCTGCCTTCCCTCTTTAATTTTGTTGGTCTTGTACAAGTGGGCATGTTAATTTCATAGGCTGGGGTTTCCCAGTGGACTTCACTCCTCAACAGTTTCATCAGGGTTTTTGGTGTCAGATTCTTCCCCCTTCTACTTTACCTCACTCTATGGTGAGTGCAAAGGTCAATCAGGTCTCTTTGAGCTCTTAATATTCCCTCATAGCAGCCCTGCCAAGGCCTACACCACCAAGACCCTTTTGTGCGGGAGGATGTCCGGACCGTCCGAGATCGGGTGTCCGGGTCAGCATCCCGTATTAGGACATGGCATCGACATCCAAGGGCAGTTACATCCGCACAGCATCCTTCAGATGCAGTTCACGCTCACACCCGGCACCTTTTTCGTGGCCAGGGCTGTGGCCAGGGCCGTGGCCCAGCCCTGCCCAGCCCTGTGTGGCCTGCCCTTGAAACAACTTTTGATCATAGCCCAACTCATCTTCAGGTGCTACTCCCTGCTTAAGGCACTCTTTGAAGGGGAATTAAGCTGAACTTCATGCACTATGAAGGTCATGAAGGGCTTGTGGTGAGGGCCACGCGTGGCCTAAGCCCTGGCCACGGCCATGTGCCCCTCCGGGGCGCCTCGTGGCTTCGGGGCCCCGGGTGTGAGCGTGAGATGCAGTGCGGATGTCAAGCATAAGACTCATATGTGGCTCTGCTTCCATGAGAGACCTACAGATGTCCAATTGAGGTTGTCCTCAAGGCACACCTCGGACATCTACCTGGTGCTCCGCACTCAGGACTCCAGGCAGCTGTGACCGGACAACCTGCGGTGATCTCAAACCGGGCTATGCTATGCGGTGAACATCACCTTTGCAGTCCCAACAAGATTCCGGCACGGTGATCGCTCAGCCATATCTCTCCGAAGCCAATCAAACTTCTCGTCTTTCCACAATAACACTTGGTACGTCTTGAGATCAACCTCTTCCCGTCTCTTTGTATTGCATTCTGACAAATTCATGATTCTTCGTTCATTTCTTATACTCGCCTTTCATCCCTTTCACAACTCAGTCTCTTTATCATGTCATCGTCCAAAGGGACCATTGTAGATCGTTGTTAGTTAATTTTGTATCATTCAACTGGCTTCCTTCTTACCATTTTGACACGAATGTATATAGATTTTGACCGAACACCGTTAAACGGTGGCTTCCAATATCGATGTATCCTGTGCAAAGGTAGAACCATGAAAGACACAACTCGCCATAAAAACTCAGAGACTCACAAGGCTTTGGTAGCTGATGAGGAAGCATCTGTGGCTCGGGACCGCGAAAGTGAACAACATCTAGGCTCATTCCTGCAAAATGATGATGAGCCCAATCAAAATTCACCTCGATTTATGGGTTTCGAGGAAGATGATAACAGAACACCTCCCAAGTCAACTTGTATCGGTTATACTGAGACACTGATGAAGCTGCTCACTGGACCTCTTAGCGAAGACGGAGAATCAGACACCGCTGAAAGTGACCAAGACTTTCCAAATCTTGGTCAGCTTGATTTTGAAACAATCCTACAAAAACGACTGGAAGAAGAGAATGATCTCAGTCAAAGCGACTCAGATTCAGACGATTCAGTTGAGCCAGAAGACACGGCTGAAAAAGATGACCACACAGGACAGAGTCAAAATCAAAACACCTTTGATTCTGACTGGTATCCCTTTCGAAAAGAGGTTTTTATTAGCTTTCCTTCAAACTTCA